CGCACATGCGCTAAATTATATAACTCTTATTTTAATTTGATTGAAATTCAACCAATTTGCATTTAATAAAATTAAAGCTAACATAACAAATTGAAAATTTTGTTTTTCATTCTATTTAATTATTTCAAATATTGAAATTATTGCAGATAATGAAAATAATAAATTTATTGTAACAAATTAATATATTTAAGAAAGCCAAACAACTCTTCTTTTCTAAAAATTTAAAATTAATATTTATTATTTTACATATATTTAAAATATTGCAAATTTTTATATATTAAATAAATTTAACAAAATGAATTATATATAGTATAAATTTAATATCATTTTAAATTTTTTGAAAATTATAAATATGATTTTATTGATAAATTTTTATTTTAATTCTAAAAATAAAAATATAATAAATGTTTATTCATTAATGCAAGTTTTTATAAATATTTAAATTTTCACATAAATAATATTTTTTTTTGCAAAATTTATGTATTAAATTAATTGTTTATGTAAAAATCTAATATTTATGAAAAAATTATTAAAATTAAATATATTGTATTAAAATTTATTTATTCTAGATATTTTTTATTCTGTATTATATTTGTTATTTAATTTAGTACAAAAATGAAACTTACGTGCATAATTGCAATAAACTAAAAATAATTAGTATATTAGTAAAATAATTTAGAAATTTTTCATTATAAAACATGATAATAAATAAAATAATGTAAAATTAAGAGTTGATGTATAAATATGCAATATTCTTAAATAGTTAATAAATAGATTAACAAACAACATTGTTTTTAACATAAATAGAATTTGACAACTTTGACAACAAGTAACTATATTCGAATAACTGTGATCTTTTTAAGCGCTAAGAACACTTATAAAATTTTTATTAACTATACTTCTATTAAAACTTTTGCTATAACCTTTAAATCATTTTAAATTATTTCATATTTTAAAGTTCTGCTTTTTTTTAAAACATCATTTTTATTATTCCTTAAATGGTTTTGCAAGCAAATTTGCCTGCAATTTCCAAATTTGGATGAAGATCATTTTAGATCTCTTCATAAAATTGACCAATCATTTTTTGACTTTATACGCATATTGATTAACACTCTATTACCATATTTGATCAATCAATTTGCTCTATATATTTCTAAAAAATGCGATGCTAACCATCTACAGAATTCTTAAATTTTTTCTCGCGTATTAGTGCAGAAATTTAAAACCCTTAATCTTTTGGGATAAAGATAATGCATAAACTAGTAGTGCCTAGAAAATAAATTTCATAAATTATAAATTGCAATAAGGGTTAAATAATATGCCAAGAATAATAGCAACTATTTCGTATACACTGCTAAAACTTGAAATAAGCTGCTACTTAATTCAGCTTATCTCATACATTATATAGTTGACTATTGTTCTATATGAGTGCTACCAAGAGAAAAACTGAATGCTTGCTTATAAAATTTATAAGTAAGCATTTAGGTTTTCCCTTGATGGCACTCATATAAAGTGATTGAGGTTCTTAGATTTCTTGCACCATATGATATTTTACAATGGAAACTTCAATTCTCTATGAACAAGATGATGATAACGTATATGTAGCAGAATTATCACGTAATATTCATGAAAATAGTGAGGAAAGTGAATCTGATGATAATGACGATTATGATATTCAAGACGTTCAAGAAAATGAAAATACCAGAGGTCGTGGTCATGGTCATGGTCATGGCCATGGTCATGCCGTAGCCATGGCCGTGGTTATAATCAAAATTATGAAGCTGTATAGCTTTCTTCTTCTCCGTTTTTTAATACATTTCAATATTCAAAACCAACGCATGAATTTACATCACACTTACCTACAAGATATGAACATTCTTTATCATCGCCTTATTCAATTTTTAGTATTTTTTTTTCACTTGAACAAATAAATACAATAGTTCAAAATACCAATAAATATGCTTGTTTAAAGGGTGCTAGAGAGGAATATAAATAGACCGAATTAAAAGTAGGGGAATTTAAAATTTGGCTAGCAATATTAATATATAGTGGTATTTTTAAATTACCTAGCATTAGAGATTATTGGAATATGGATAATAGATTTCTATAACATAAGATCGCAACTTTTATGATAATGCTTCATTTCGAACAAGTACATTCTTTAATAAGTATTTTACATTATTACAGTAAATTATTTAATTATTTAATTATTTAATTATTTATTTTTTTATTTTTTTATTTTTTTTTTGGTTTAGATTAAACGTTTTATGCATATTTCAGACTGTGCCATTCCCTCTTTATATTGGTATTCTAAATTAGATCCATTAGCAAGCTATATTCAAACAATTTCTAAATTAATTTGCATTCCGTCAACAAATATTTTAGTTGACGAAATGATTGCACGATTTTCAGGTCAAAGTATGCATACAGTTAGAATTAAAAATAAGCCTACTCCTGAAGGCTACAAAATTCCTTCTCTTTGTGATGCAGGTTATACATATGTATTTATTTTTATCTCACGAATTCACAGTCATCCGGAAGTAAACCCAATTCCAAATTTAAATAAAGCTAGAAATAAGGTTTATTATCTTGTTTCCCAGTTACCTTCAAATAAAACCTTTAATATATATATAGATAATTTTTTTTCGTCTATTAATCTTTTTCAATGTTTGCGCAATAATAATTTTGGTGCATGCGAAACAGCTCAAACAAATAGCGCACAATTTCCAAAAATACTTAAAGTAAATAAAAAACTAGATTGGGATACATTATCTGAAGTAGTTGTTGGTGAGGTTTTAGCTGTTTTATGGATGGACAATAGGCCAGTCACGATATTATCTACTATTCATCAAATTACTGGAAATGAAAACAGGATTAAAAGAATTCAATGCCGATCTCAAGAAACTAGTACCAATGCAAACAAAGTACAAGCAATTTTTGGAACTGCTAGTAAAAAACCCTTACCAATTCCTTGTGTAATTGATGACTATAACCATCATATGGGCGGGGTAGATATAGCTGACCAGCTTTGAGAATATAATAGTATTCAATTGTCAGTAAGAAGAACTTGGATGCCTTTATTTTATTGGTTATTGAACACTTCGATTATCAATTCTTATTTAATTTTTAAAAAAAAATGGTAAAAATATTAGTCATAAAAACTTCTAAATTCAGTTAGTATGGGGTCTAATTAATGTGGGTATGGAGGAAAATGATACAAACAAACCAAATACACGAAGTTGGGTTGAAGAATT